ATGTTTGAAAGGTGTGTGTGAAGTGAGGGGTGTTCAGTTGCAACATACAATTTCAACACTAGATATATGACAAAATTCTACACACTGTACCTTTAATTGAGGAAGTATATTTTTTAGAACACTTCAATCTAGACTAAAAAGTAACAAAGTAACAAAGCATCAAAGCATCAAAGCATCAAAGTACAACTCTTAGGTATAAGCAGAGCTTTGATGGACAGTGTTCAGTCCGACATTTGCAATTGGAGAGAGAAGTTCAAGTGTGATCGAATCAGACGACCCTTTCAGTTAAATTCTCAGCTTCTCCGTCCCAGTATTGAGCTTGAAATAGTTGACCTGACATCATGTCATCAAGGGAAAGCACAGGAAATGATTCTGCTGCCTCAGGTCAGACTCTGAAAACTAAAGTTGCTATGCTTGCAGGAGTAGCAATGCTAGTAAAAGTAGAAGAAATTATTTTAACGTGCAACCTGTGTCCTTGGTTAAGAGCTTGTGTGTGCGCGAAGAAGAACATATCAGAGGCTGGTTCCTTTTGCTAGCATGGCTACTTCTGCTAGCATCAGTACTTCTGGTAGCTGACATTTAGGCTAAAAACATGATGTAAATGAAGCTGTTTCTAGTGGAATTTGAATGTTGGGGCTTACAGACATTTAAATGCACTGACTTTATGTCCAAGACAGAAAAACTCATTGTTTGATACTTGAGGCCAATGATGTTTTTGCTGTTTTATCACAGCATCAACATTATCTTGTCTGCTCCGTTCACTGAAAACATAAATAACATCATTGTTTTAGTCTCCACATGGTCTTAAAATGACAACTGCAGAAGCACAAAGACATGTGATTCCTGGTTCAGTTGTTTGTTTGTTCATATTGGGTTGACTGAATGAATCTCTCACGCTGAAGACACCCACGTCTCATATTTTGTCTCCACCGTCTCTCTCCACAGTTGCACTGACAGCACATGAAGTTCAGGCCGGCGACGTGCTTCACAGCAGCTCTTCCTCCTATTCAGTCCTGGAGCTCATAGGGGAAGGCGCCTTTGGAAAGATCGCTGCATCAATGAATCTCAGGACTAAAGAGCATGTGGCAATCAAAATCCTGAATAACAAAGAGTCCACCCAGGACTCTGAGCAAGAGGTATGAGACTGAATTCTTTGTTTATATTCCTGTGCTCCGGTGTTGTCTGCTCCATCAGAACATGTAGCTGATCACAAGCTGTTGACAGTCTTGTCTCATTAAGCCTCTTTTCTCTCCAGGTTTCCATCTTGAAACTCATCGGTGAAACCCTGGATAGTGATCGCACCAACATGGTCAAGTTCCATGAGCAATTTGTGCACATGGAACAGAACTGTTTGGTCTTTGAGAGGCTGCACATGAGTCTCTATGACTTGCTAAAGTGGAGAGAGTGGAAGTACCTTCCTTTACACCATATCCGCCCAGTTGCCAAGCAGGTATGTAGCTGCGGTCAATGCATCATGAAACCAACACTCTTTTGTTATAGAGAGATCCCCAATAAACCTAACACCCAACAACAGCTCATGGAGAAAATATTCTAAATGTTTTGTATTCTTTCTGTCCCTGCAGCTCTTGGTGACCCTGGAGGCCCTGAAGGGTGTTGGTGTCCTGCACACGGACATCAAACCAGACAACATTATGTTCGTCCACTTGCAGGATCAGCCACTCAGGGTGAAGCTGATTGATTTTGGCAGCGCCATGATGACGTCCCAAATCGAGCTGGGGAAGGAAATCCAGCCGTATGGGTACAGGTGAGTTCATCCTGCATAGCATCTGTTCAGCCTCATTATTTTCTCTGCACTGAAAAGTTTCAACAGATTTTTCATCTTTGGCTCATGTCTTTCCTTCTCAGGGCTCCAGAAATCTCACTCGGCCTTCCGTTCACCGAGGCCGTCGATGTGTGGGGTGTCGCGTGCATACTGGCCTTCCTGTACATGGCTGAAAACCTGTTCTGTATTAGCTGTGAATATCAAATGGTATGTATCATCTCACCAAATGGGTTTTTATTTGTTTTTCATATTCATAGAGAATGTAAGTGGATGTGATTCTCACGATGTGTATTGTGTCTGCAGATGAAGGGCATAGTGACAGTGCTGGGCCAGCCGGAGGACCGCCTGCTCCGTGACGGCGAGAACAGTTGGCGTTTCTTCATTGATGAGCAGGGTGCAGACAGTTCATCATGGAGACTGCTGGTAGAGTAACCATGTTCTTCTTTGTTTGAGAATTTTAGTGGAGCACAGTAAATCATACTGCCCTGTGCTCATCTTGTTTCCTTTTTGTATCTTTAGACCGCAGAAGAATTCACAGCAGCTAACGACTTGGAAACAGAGGAGCTGCCGAGCTCTCTGAGCTCTCTGAGCAGCCTGATTCTTGTGAGTACTCTCTCATGTGTTGTACAAGTAAAGACTGGATCTGTACCAGTTATTTATCTGTCAATCGGGAGCTGGATCATCTGACCTGAAACCTGTTTTCAAATCCAGTTCCATCCAGAGTTGGAGGCTGCTGAGAGGGAAGACCGCATGGCCTTTGTCTCTCTGTTAGAGGGGTTGCTGCATGTTGATGGGGATCAGAGGATGACTTCTGGTCAAGCTCTGCAGCATCCCTTTATTACCATGAGCCACCTGACAGAGGATGTCGACAGCTGGGACTAGTAAGTGAACACATGTTGTTCTACAAACTAAAAAGACACATCAGGTTGGATGGACTGACTGATTTACTAATGGATTGTCTTCCCTCATCCAGTCTGACCACCTCCAAAATGACAATGAAGGTCTACCCAAATGAGGACAGCGTCCACGGTGCAACCTCAGACAACAGTTACAGTGACACCATGGACAAAGTCTCCTCGAATTCTGTGGAGGCTCTAGTGTCCCAAGTCACTAGTGTCCCCAAGTTGTCCACTGGAGACAGTGCAGAAGTCTGTGATTCTGACCTGTCAAACTCCAAAGACACCTCAGTACCGTCAATTAAAGAAGATGACACCAGTGAACTGTCCTGGTGCTCTGACGTGGCTGTGGACATCAATGCTGCAGCCACAGCCTCCTCGGGCGGCAAAAGGAAGCTGCTGAGAAGAATCAGAAAATTCTTCTCAAGCCTCATCAGCTGCTGCCGTCCGAAAGTGGAGGACTGATTTATTTCTGTATCGCAGCATCGACCACTTGTGATTGGATCACTCGTGCAGGATGGATGGTGATACCTGGTCTGAGCGGAGACTTAGTGATGCTCAAACCTCTGCCCTTCATCCCACCCACAGTTATCATCTGGTGTCACACAAGCTCAATTGACAGCGTCAACAACACAGTCAAAACAAAGCGCCTCACAGGGACGGCAGAGACACAACTGTGTGTATTTATTACAGTTACTTTAACTGAATATTATTTTTAATCTGGCCTCAGATTCTTTCTATTTGTCATGAGTGAGGAAAAACAATTTAATAACGAGGAGCCGTTGTAAACATCGCCTGGAGAAACAGGAGAACTGAATAATAGTTTTTCTTACAGGTGTTGCAGCTGTTTTGACAAAACACACATCCTGGTAGCTTCTGTGATAATGGAGACGAGTGAGGGCCTGATTTTTATTTAAATGTGCAAAAATAAACCCAATAAAACATACGACAAAGCAAAGAGGATTCTTCATGGAAGAAATATTTGCTTGTTATTGCGCACGTCTTTCACAACAACACACACTCTAACACTTGTTAATGTCCGTGATTATAATTCCACGGTGAATTAGTGTATCCAGGAATAAAAAACACTCACTAATGAGTCATCTCTATGAGCCACTTTCCTGATAACAACACAGAGAATAAGCCAATTTGACCAAAGCAAACTTAATCATATTTACTAGAAGTGTGGAAACCCCTAAAATGTCAGGCTGAATTTATTAATCAATGAGACACTGTCACCAAAGGGACAGTAATAGACGCTAGGCTGAGGATGATATGCAGCACCTGCCACTCTTAAGCTCCGCCGAGATGGACTACAGGCACCAGCAGTGCTGCTGTCTCCTCTGCAACGTGCTCCACTTGCAAATGACTACAAATCTCAATTCCATATGCCGCCTGGTACGGTGCTTTATTACATTCCCACGTCCTAGTCACGTCGCTTTGTGATAATACCACGGCAATAGATAGAAAAGCCTGTGAGGTATAAAAAAAAATAAAAAACTTGTCATGATTTATTCAGCAGGGCTCATTTCCTACTAAAGTAATATGAGATAAATATGACCATGTACAGGGTATCCAGAGATCAAGGGTAAAAATGGATGCACCGAGGCAGTAACACTATTTGAAATGGAATGATTTTTCACCCCATGCAGGAAGCTGTCTCAGCCCAGGCTGTCGAGGGACGTTCCTCCCCCACCAGCCTGGTAATCTAGCTCGTCATTATCGCACTGGCAGCTGGGTGGCACATGCCATTCTTCTGGACGCTCAGCATTACCTGATGGCGTTGCTGACTGTGTCAGTGTCCCTGGCGCTGACGCTGCCGAGCACGGTTCCCACGGCGGCATTTTCAGGAACTTTCCACTCGTAGACCGGTGAGATGAAGACGGGCGGCTCGTCCACGTCCTCCACGATGATCTTGAGCGTCGTCCTGTCCCTGAACTCCCCCAGAGCCAGAAATCGAGTGTCCACGTGGTCATTAACGGCCTCTGCAGCCATTACGTAGCGCCTCTTTGTTTCGTAGTCCAAAGGCTGTGAAGGAAAGAAATGTTTTTAATACACTAGCTGTTTTGAAACAGAAAACACCCTGACAAATCATTAAATAAGCTTAAAGACTAACAGCTTTTATAATTTTCTTTGCCAATTTATGGCGAGAACAGACGATTATTCCGCAGAGAGCTGGACACAACTCAGACTGGGTGTTAAAATTGTTCGGTCGGTGTCAATAAGCTGCCAGCTGTGAGCGTGCACTCAAATAATGCTGTGTTTTCCTTTAACATTATGATGCTTGTAATAACGAAACAGCATGCGAACCATTACTGCATTCCCAAAATGATTCAGAGACACAGCCAGTGATGTTTCCCTCTTTTATTTCATTATCACGGCATCTAAACTGAACTCTCCCGTGAGAGGAATACTGGAGGTGAAATAAGCACGAGGCAGAAGTCCAATAGAAATATGAGTGTTTCATTCATTCATCCACGTTTTCTATTTGAGTCGTCTCTTCTAAAAAACTCCAATTAAGGACTTCTCTAACCCTCAGTTCTGAAGTGCACGGCCCTGAGTCCACCCACTCGGAGCTCAGGGTTATTTATTCACAATTTCATGCACATACAGTCTATTTTACATGAATTAATTCATGTCACTTAATACTTCTTAAATTCTCTCGGTCACTCCGCATTTAGAGAAAAATATTTCTGTTTGGACATGTCACTTTCACAGAGCAGAGGAATGAGGGATTTAGTTTTTATATAATAAGAACAATTTCGAAATTACGTTTGGACTTTCTTGCCAACGCATCTTCCCCTCAAACGCTTTCTGGCAACTAGAGAATACATAAGGAGTTTTTCATTTTAATCATAATTTAATCATTAGAAGTGCTGCTTGGTGGATTTAGTTACCTTTAGCTGGGTATGTTTGTATTATTTATTTTTTTGGGCATCTACGGGCTAATGCTAATCCTGGCTAACCGTTTCCCAGCTTCATACTTAAGGGTCCATCATTGGAGTCATATCAATCCTCTCATCTATCTCTCAGAATATTTTCAAAAACATTAAAACACTGATTTAACTTTAGGAACAGAACATTTTGCATCAGCTGAACTTTCTAGCAGACACACGCCACACCGACTTGTTTCAGCTGCTTGCTCATGTGTGGACAAACCTCCCAGCAGCCACTGCTCTCCGGCTGTGGAGGCAGCGTTGGCACAGCAGTTTAATATGAACAGTTTCCGGGAATCATGTCCTGCAGGTCCTCTTCATCCTCACATCTGTACAGTGTTAACGCTCGTCTCAGTTCTGATAGAAACCAGCGTCACAGCCTCAGTGACGACATCCCACACGCCTCTCCACATTTTCCACCAAACAAAACTGACTGAATCATTAGACAGTAATTAAGTAATCTCAGAGCTGATACTCCCTCATCAGAAATAAGCTGCTTACACTGTTTGTTCTCGTGCTTCCTCCTACAGCAGCATATGGCACTTTATTGTGCATATGGGCCGAGACTAAGCTCCTATATGAGCGCGACCTGCAGAGCAGACGCCAGCTTCTGCCAGGTGTGTGACTGTGTGTGATTGTTGGGTGTATGTGTGTATATTTTATTTTAGCCTGAGCTGTGTGAGTTCACTTTGAGGCTCCTGTGGTTATGTATCTGCCAGCTGCCTCAGTGAGTGTATACTCGTACTTCCATCTTCGTGAGGACCAATGAGAACTCACCGAGGACATTTCGGCAGGTAAGACACTTACATGGGATTGGCAATCCCTCATGACATCAGCAGGCTTTAAAAAAAAAAAAACAATACTGCTGGAGGCTTCAGATTAAAAATATAAAAAACGTATATAGCTGTCGTAGAGAGATATATTCTAACCTGGGTGAGCACAACCACCCCCTCCTGCGTCACTGGGTCTGTTTGGATGATGAAAGTGGCGCTCTCCTCCAG